GATTTCAGATTGTAACATAAAACTAAATTTGTTTATCCTAAATAGCTTTAAATTTTATTGTTTTATTGCCCTTTGAACCATGTCTAACTACTATTAATGACATTATAAGTTGTAAATCACTTGGGGAACGTGGAACTTGTGTTATGCTATCAAATTACATTACCAATGATCTGCTCCCATGCATGCCTTGTGAAACATTTTTATTATGTTATTATTATTTATTTTAGCTAATCTAACCTTAAATAATATAAAGAGATTCCTATTTTTACATTTTAGTTACTTTTATAATAATAAATAATGAATAATCATGAAAACCAAGAAATAAAGTAATTTACCTGGATCTTCTTTTTTTTGGCTGTTGACTGTCAATGACACTCAACCCTACTTTTTTATACTAATGGTAGTAATGCACAAAATAATTTTTGTTTAATTAAATAATGCTCCAAAGAACATAAAATAATAACACGCAAAAATAGACAATTTTTCTGGCTTTCTAACTATGCTACAAGAGCCGTTAAAAAATCATCCAAGCTAGTCATTATGTTTCCCATGGGAACGAAGCTTGTACTAACAGAGAAATTGACAATTCTCCATTCAGGAAACAATGTAAAATAATACCTCATTTGATAGATAAAGGCCTTGGCCTTGGCTTTCTATTGGTTATACATAATATAGAATTAAACATTAGAGAGAACTATTAACAAATCTTAAAAGAGTGGATGTGTCAGGTTGGTATGGCAAGAGGAGTATGATTTTCTATTTGCTGGCTATGTAACCAAACAAATTATGGTTTGTCTGAGGAATGATGATTTTATAGTGAGTAATTTATGTTAAATTGTGTACTTATTGGAGGGGTGGTGAATATAATAGAGAAGAGGGGATGCCTAGAGAAAATATGTAACATTTCTCATACTTGGGGAAATTCAGAATTTTAAAACATATTTCCTTATAAAATTTAGAACTTAAAACTTAGATATTATTAAAATATGGATTATTAGCTAAAAATTTATGCTATACTAATTGATATAACATAAACAAAAGTAGTTTAATAAAATTTTGCATGTAAGTCACTAAAACCTCATGACATGCGCAGTAAATGATGCCCGAGCAGATAGGGTTAAGCTAGATGAAAGTTAAATGAAATTAAATAAACCTAATACTCATAGTCAATGATAGCATGCACCAAACATGATTAGAACTGTTTAATTTGACATGAGTGTGCCTGTAACTGCTGTGTACATAGAGCTGTCTGGCATAATAAGTAGCTATCACCGTAATCTAAGTGCAACTGTTAGCATTGAATGTAAATATAAATAGTGTGTAACCATCTGTTACAATGTACAGTCATTCTAGAAAAGGGGTAATTTATATTTTGTACATTTCTGTCTCATTTTGGTTACAAGATGAATTGTGTCTGTGCACAGTATTAAGGTAGACAAAATATCAGGTAAGACTTTTACTGCACAAGAAAAATATATATATATTAATTTAGCAAGTTCTAGAGGCTATGTAAATGAAATTTGAATACTGTAAAATGAAGAAAAGTAGTCAGACTTTGATTCCATAAAGTCACAGATAAATGTTTAGTAAAAATATTTAATTAAAAAGATTTGTAATCTTTACTAAAAGCTTGCTTAATTTCTTGAAGATACAAATGATACTTTAAGAGTTATAGTATGTATATTTTCATGGTTAAATGGTGGTTGCAAGGTCAGTTAAGATGAACAAACACATATACAGTAAGTTAAGATTTACAATTTTTATGAATAAAGGTGTAGAAATGGAAGTTGATGGTCTAATTGATGTTCAGCTGTAAACTTGATATTAGTGTGTTTATTTTTGAGATGGTCAAATGTTATCATTATCTTTATAAATAATGAAAGTATTATCCACATACCTTATGTAGTATATTTGGTGTGGTTATGGGATAAAGATTTGCTCCATTACCAACAAATTTTTTCATGTAAAAGTAAAAGTGCTGGCTTGATGAATAACTTCTTTGTTTAACCAGTATACTATAGTAGGTATATCGATGATACATTCTGTATTTTTAAAGATACTGAACATGTGAATAGTTTTACAACCATCTTAACAATAAATATACAAATACTAAGTCCACAGTTGAATATAGATAAGATCATTAACTTTCATGTCTAGACACCAATACTTCTAATCATAATAAAATGGTAACTTGAATATGAAATATATAATACTACCATATACCATATTTTTTCTAACCTCTGTTCAATTTTCTGTTATATACATAAATTGTTTTCTGTTTTGAAGATGACTTTATAAAACTATTTTAATCTAATGGAAGTAAACCTAACATGCATAGGAATTCTGTATTACACTGAGACAGCAGTAAGTCTACGACCTTACAATGTTAAAATCTGGGGTTTGATTCCCTGTAGTGGACGCAGCAGATAGCCCAGTGTGGCTTTGCTCTAAAACAAACAAGGAAACAAATGCACAAAATCTTAAAATTATATCACCACCACAAATCTTCCTTTTCTCTAACATATTACACAATAGCTTAAATTACAAACATTATCTGGCTGACATAAATAAGAGATCCATTACAAATTATGTTTATAAATATCCTCTGGTGGAACAGTGATAAATCTATGTACAATGCTAGATTAGGTTTGATTCTAAGTGGTGGACACAGCAGATAGCCCAGCATGGCTTTACTGTATAATAAATAAACAAACTGTATTACACATGTGTATTAGTCAGTAAGATATATGAAATTGTCTAGTACCTTTCATTAACAATTATAAGACTTTTAACATTCTTGAACCTACTTTGTTTCCAACTATAGTTGATATTTATTTGAGGTCCAGCACGTCTTCCAACTAGATTCATTCTACCAGCCAAACATACAAGTATACATATTCCTGACCTAATTAGTATGTTACAGTTACTATAGATATTAGTATTGCTTCAAATACTATTGATTCCTCTTTGGCAAGATATAATGTACATACATTATATTTCTTTTTTAAAGACATTTTATTTTATTTTTGGTTTATTAAATTGCTTATTTGCCCATTATTTTCATCAAAGAATAACTAGCTATCCATTGTTAAGATCAACCAATCAAATACCAATGTACCCATCTGCTAGTTTTTATGTTTCTTAAATTATGAGTTCCTTTTTGTAGTTGATGTACCCAAGGATGCCAGGTTAACATTGTAAGCATATAAATGATTCCATTTATCCAATAGTAAAACAAGTTTTTGAACTATTATATACAAGCAAACAGTTTTAATTGGAAATGAACTATGCCCTTGAGCTTACCTTACAACTTGAAATGAGATGTATTTTTAAACTTGAATGTAGATTGCAACAATGTTTTTCAGTTTGAAAGATCTAATATCTGTATTCCAAACTTTAAATGTTGTTTGTATATGAGTATAAATTTTCTATAGGGTATATTCAATTACTGTGATGTGGCTTCAGATTTACAGGCTAGAACATACAAGTTTTAAATCAACTCCATTTTTCAGCATCAAGATCTTTGCATTAAAAGAATTAACCTATGAGTAAAGGAAAGTTTGTTAATGAATAGATTTCAAAGTTGAATGAGTAGAATAGCACAATTTGTTTATTATTAATTTTATAAGCAATTCTGTTTAATAGGCTTTATGCTGATTTTGATATGACAATTTTATTCCCACAACATTTAAATTTAATTTAGTGAAAGTTCTAGTGAATCCTACATACAGAATTGTGAGCATTAATTTTTGTTATATAAAGAAAGTTTTTATCAAATACTGTTTGAAACCTAATGAATTTAACTATTTAATTATTTTATGAATAATTACCTCAGTGAAATGTTGAACTAGTACATTATGAAGTTCCAAAGTCTTAAGTTTAAAAGGAGCTTTTATCTTATGAGTAATGATTGTCCACAGGTACAACTTAAATTTCTTTTAACAATAAAAAGCTATTTTAAATGTCATTCCTAATAATAAGTGGTTGTTTATCATTTGTAAATTAATAGTGAAGAATATGTAAGCTTCCTTATTAGGTAGTTGTCTACCCTTATAAAATAATACTATATTTTGACAAAATGTAATATTTTAATAACTGTTAACTTTGTGATGATAACTGGAATTGAAGATGAGCAGTAACTAATGATTGCTAAACTGAAGATGAATTATGCACTCCTCAAGTTGTAAGCTTGTTCCAGTTTTTGGTTAATACAAGTAGTCAATTTTTTATTAATTTTAATACATTTTGTAAGAAATTTTTTTTCATTCTTGTTTGGTATTTTGAAGTACTATTGAATACTTCTAAGGTTAGTTCTCTTTTTTGAATCTTGTGTAAGAAAATTGGCTTAAGAGTTACTAATAACAATATGAAAATGTTTTACATTTTTAATTACAGATATGAGAGAGACCTAGAATTGTTCAAGGTCAAAGTGGCTGAGAGTATAAACTTTTGTCATGAAAAGTTGTATGACATTTCAACGCAAGATCCACATGCTCTCCGCTTCAGTCCATGGGAACCAGCTATACATGAAAATATTCGAAAAAAATTATTATCTGGAAGTGTGAGTATTTTTATGTATTTTACACATTTTTATTCCTAGGCCAGGCATGGCCAGGTGGTTAGAGCGCTCGACTCGCAATCTGAGGGTCGCGGGTTCGAATTCCGATCACACCAAACATGCTCGCCCTTTCAGCCGTGGAGGTTTAATAATGTGATGGTCAATCTCACTATTCGTTGGTAAAAGAGTAGTCCAAGAGCTGGCGATGGGTGGTGAAGACTAGCTGCCTTCCCTCTAGTCTTACACTGCTAAATTAGGGATGGCTAGTGCAGATAGCACTCATGTAGCTTTGCACAAAATTAAAAACAAACATTTTTATTCCTCCCAATTATTGCTCAACTTACTCACACCAGGATAAGAGTTTTGATGAATTATTTAATTTTCAATGTTGTTCTAAATGAAAACACAAATATTTGAAAAAATAACTCCATATGTACCTTATAGTTCATATTTATATATTTGTTAATTGGAAAACATAAACAAATAAATGTTTATTTTTCTTTTAATGTTCTCTTACAAAAGTTTTGATCAAAATGTGGAAGCATTACTACCAAGTTTTACTCGTGTCAGTTTTGTTTTTAGTTTTTCTTGTATTTGTTCAAGGAGGTTTTTTTCCATTTCCTTACAGGTTACAGTCACAACTTAATGAGTACGTAAATTTATAGGTTTTTTTGTATGCTTCTGCATGTACTTTTTTCCCCTAAAATAATATGGAAAAGCTCGGAGTAAGCTGTATGTTAATATAATTAGATGTGTATATAATCTTTTGTTACTTGCAGAATTTTGTAACAAATTCTAAGGTGTATGTTTTAGCTTAGGTGAAATTATTCACAGGATTCAGGATATCAAGTGGCATCTACATGCAAATTAAAAGTTACAAAATAGGTAGCAAGAGTTTTGATATGTAGTTTGAAGTGGTGTTTACTAGTTTAAAACTTGTTTTAACTGGTATGTTATCATACTTTGCAAATACTAATTCCTACTCAACATTTTAGGAAGTACAGTAATGTATTTTTCTAGATGAATAAGTTATCAGTTTTAACAAGTTGAGGTTGCAGAGTAAGTGGACTATAAAACATGAGTTAACTCTAGAATCAGTTTTGGACAGATCTTGTAATCACCATGTAACCATCGAAATATACATGCTATAACTCTGAATAAACTAAGTGTATCTTCACAATTTTGCAAATGTTTAATAAACATTACAAGTCTTTTGCACACAAAAAACAGATTTTATAATGAGGTGTTTTTACTAAAGATTTGTTTGTGAATTTCCAAAGCCTTTACTGAGTCAATCTGAATGCAAGGTGATTTTCATGCTAAGAATCAATATTCTTCTTTTCATCTTCGACCAGGCATGGCCAAGTGGTTAGGGTGCTTGACTCGCAATCTGAAGGTCGTGGGTTTGAATCCCCATCCCACCAAACATGCTTGCCCTTTCAGCCATGGGGGCATTATAATATGATAGCCAATCCCACTATTCATTGGTAAAAGAGTAGCCCAAGAGTTGGCAGTGGGTGGGGATGACTAGCTGTGTTCCATGTAGTCTTTCACTGCTAAATTAGGAACGGCTAATGCAGATAACCCTCGTGTAGCTTTTCACGAAATTCAAACAAACCATACCAAACTTTTCATCTTAAATTTTATGTTTCATTTACATAACCTCTAGAACTTCTTAAATGAATATCAAACTGTTTTTCTCTATCCTTAAACTAACTATAATGTATAAAGTTACCATTGTATTCTTTCTAGAATGACTGCATATCATAACAGACAGTTACATGTATCTATTCTAAAAACATACCCTTCAAAATGGATTCTTATATGTGATGAATGTTGTCTGTACAGTTTACCTCTTCTAGGATCCAAACAACCACCCATATGTTTGCCATGCATGGTGACTCATGAAGGGGAGGAGAAAATCCTGGTTGTTGAGTAGTGTTGGGAGTGCTGCAATACACCATTTTGGCCTTTACACGGGTAACTTTGGGGTGCCCACCAAGGATAAAACAGGTGGTTCTGGGGGGGTATGGGTCAACTGAGTGTCAGTGTTGGGAATTCTCAATGGGTGTTATGAACATTTTGTCTACTGCTGGTGGTTGGGTATAGTGCACACAAAACTCTGGCATAAGTGCACCGTCCTTGTTTGACAGTGTAGAGCTTCATTGTGTAGGATTCTGTAGTGGGTGGAGTCACTGGGTATTGAATATTTTCTCATGGATAATAAAAAATATGAAAATCAAAACAGGATACAAAAAACAAATCTTGGAAAATGACTATGCTTGGAAAACTGATCAACAATCAAAATATCACACCTCACATTCTGATTCTACATTAGTTGTCAGAAAAGTCAGGCTCAGCATGACCAGGTGATTAGGGCGCTCGACTTGCAATCCGAGGGTTGATGGTTCGAATCCCTGTCACACCAAACATGTTCACACTTTCAGCTGTGGGGGCGATATAATGTGATAGCCAATCCCACTATTCATTGGTAAAAGAGTAGCCCAATAGTTGGCAGTGGGTGGTGATGACTAGCTGTCTAAACAAACAAATAAACAGAAAAGTCTCTAGGACAGACATCTCCCTTTTTCATCCAGAAGGGATTCTAAGTCAGTTACATCCTGGGGACATCTTGGTCAAAACAACTACACCACAGCATAGCGACCTTTTCCTGAAATTGAAGTCCATCAGAGATATTCCTATTAAAGGTACTCCCCCTGCTTCTCTAAATTCTTGGTTTCTCTAGCCAAGGTGTTTCAGCTGTTCAGGCTATCTCTAATCAAAGAGATGGAATAATATGGCCTACCAACGTTCTTATTTTGATGTTTATGTTGCCACATCTGCCTGCCACTGTCAAGGCAGGTTATTTCAACTGTAAGGTATGGCTCTATATTTCTAATTCTCTCAGATGTTTCCAATGTCAGCAGTTTATACACACTAAATCATCTTGTTGTGGTACTTTAATGTTTGCTTGTCATAGCAAAGACCACAATAGCTGTGAGTGATAACTGGACCCACATTGCATTAATTGTAATGGTTCTCATTCCTCATATTTTAATTCTTGCCTCAAATGGGTGGAGGGAAAAGAGTTATTGCATTTGGGGACCATAAATAATACATCTCAAGGCACAGAAATTGATGTCTCATTTTCCAATTTGGGCACATGCTGCTTCACTCCATTCCACTTCTATACTTGGAGTGAAGAAAGACTATTTGATTCCACCATCAGAGCCTTCCTCTCACTATGTTAAGGATCTTATGCCTTTCGTGGATATACCACTTGACAAGTCCATGTCTACTCCTGTCTCTGTTCCTACTGCAGCATCCAGTTAGTGGTCAGAACCTCTTCATTGGTCCTGAAGAGCAGGACTGTTATTCAGTCACTTACTTATTCATGGATTATAATTCATCTGACAGGGACCTGCCCCATTGACCCTGAGCAGGATTCATGGAAGTCAATAAACCTCTTTCTGGTGAACAAAAACAAAAAGGCTCTCCCTCCAGTTCTTCTACTCCTAAATAAAAATGGTCACCTTGATACAGTGAAACTGTTGAGGCTTCCATTCTAATTTAAATAACAATAAGGCCTTGATTGATTCATATCATCCTGTATATATGTTTTTACAGAAAACGTTCATAAAATCTGCTCATGCTGTCACCTTTGTACAGGAGAGACAGGTTGTGTGATGAATGAATTCATGGGGATGTGGTACTGCTGGTTGACTAACATACATTCACCATGTCTGCTACTCAATACACCAATGAAGGCTGTTGTCATCCATGTCTCCATGGGTCATACCCTCACAATTTGTTCTCTTTATCTGTCACTGGGAGAAAATTATGATCAAACAGACCTTGATGATCTTATTGAACATTTGCTATCTCCCTTATTCGTTGTGGAAGACTTTAATGGACAGTCCCCTTTGGGATGGTGCTCATTATTGATGGAGGGGTCGTTCTGTGGAGTGTACACCCATGGATCACAACCTCTCTCTCTCTTCAGTACTGATTCAAATAGATATTTTCATGCACTTAGTCAGTCTTTTACTGTTATTGGTCTTTCATTATGTTCCCTTTCTTTGTTGTTTTTACTGGAGGGTGGGAAATGATCCATGGGGCAGTGGTCATTTTCCCATTATTCTGAGGAACATTGGCTGTGGTAGATGCCACCTGACTCATGAAATGCTGGAAACTGGAGTAGGCTGACAAGTTCTTCTTCACCCCTCTCTTGGAAATTTGATCCCACTGTTGTTAATCTTCCCACCATTAATGATTGCTTGGAGGCAGTAACTTAATTTATTATGTAAGTAGCTGTTCATAGGATCCATAAAACCACAACACATTATTCTAGTTCATGGTGGACCTCCATCTGCCAACAGACATGGAAGGCTCAGAAACTGGCCTGGGATAACTTCTACAGATATCTTACTCTTAACAACTGCATGGCTTTTTAGTAAGCTTATGCCTATCCCCTGTAGGTCAGACATCAAAGCCAGAAGGAATCTTGTATTAAGTGCACTTCTAGCATTTGTTCAACCACCTGTTCCAAGATTATTCAGGACAGAATTTGAAAGGTCAGTGGAAAATATGCTTCCGATCTCCTTTCGATCTTGCTATCTAATGACAAGGAAGTCACTGATTTACAGGGTATTGCTGACACCATTTTGGAGTGCTTTTCTCACCATTCCAACACTTCCACATCTTCCTCTGCCTTCTTGACCATCATGCTACATGCTGAAAGATTACCACCTTCTTTTTGAGCTAATGATCTTTAGGATGTAATCTACCATTTACTGTAGTTGAACTTAAGATTTCTCTACATAAGTCTGGCAGTATACTGGTTAGACCTGATGATATTCATTATGATGTTGCTCTTCTTCTGGTTGTTTTTAACTGGATATGGCAGGAGAATGATTTTCCAGATGCATGGCATATGAATATGGCCATCCCTTTTTCTAAGCTGGGAATGATCCCAAGATTTTTTCTAATTATCATCCTATTGCTTTGAATAGTTGTCTCTGTAAGGTTTTGGAGAGGATGGTTAATGCTTGTCTTGTTTGGTCCCTTGAATCAAACAACCTCCTCTCACCCACCTGGTGTGGTTTCCACAAGCAGTGATCTGCTGTGGACTACTGATTAGACTTGAAACATCAATCAGGAAAGCCTTCCTCAAAAGGGAGCATCTTGTATTAATTTTCTCTGATTTTGAGAAAGCTTATGATACTATTTGGTGGTTCAGCATTTTCTGGAATCATCATTCTTATGGGTTACATGGCCATTTACCAATTTTTATTCATAACCTTTTAAATAGCAGGTCATTCCAAGTCTATGGGGTTGAACATTGTCCTCATCCTTCACACAGAGGAACTTGGAATCCCACAGAACTGTGTCATGAGCATCAGGCTTTTTAGTATTAAGATCAATGCTATCATTAAACAACTTCCTCCTACTGTTGCAAACAGTCTCTATGTCGATGGCTTTCAGATTTCCTGTTGGTCATTGAATATGAGGTGTATTGAGTTTCAGACCACCCTCACTTGCTTGTTGGGGTGGATCACAGCAAACAGTTTTACCTTTTCACCATCTAAAACCAGTTTTGTGCATTTTTGGGGCCAGTGGAGAATGCACACTGATACGGAGCTCTGCATGGGTGGTGGCATTCTTCCCATGGTGGCTGAGACAAAGTTCTTAGGACTTTTTTCAACTGTAAGTTGACATTTATTCCAAACATTAAGCGGCTTAGTGTCAAATGTACAAGGGCACTGAACACCCTCTGTGTCCTCTCTTCCACCTCTTGGGGAGTGAACAGGTGTTTCATGCTGAAGATCCATCGTACCTTATTTGATCAAAGCTGGACTATGGATGTATGATCTATGGTTCAACCAGGGACTTTGCCTTGAAATGATGGACACTGTACATCATCAGGGGTTTTCCATACTTCTCCAGTCCAGTGTTTATACACTGAGTCCTATGAATTTCCACTTCACATCAGACATTTGCAACTTTCCTTGCAATATGCTGCAAAGCTCAAATACTTACTGCAGTATCTCACCTGGCTTTGTGTCTTCATGCTTCAATAGGCTGTGTTTTTTGAAAATAGGCAGTCTGCCACTCCCGTATTCAGCCTTTGTATCCAGGTGCAGTTGAATTGGGTCTGACATTGAATGATATTGCTGAGTCTGATGTTCAGCCCATTACACCATGGCTTCTAACCATCTCAACTTGTGACCTTAATTTGAGTCATCTGAAGAGGTCAGTTACTATCTTCTTCTTTGTTGAACATCTCTCAAACTATTCTTCTGTTTGTTTTACTGATGGTTTGAAATATAGTGACTCTGTGGGCTCTACCATGATTTGTTGTGGCTTGGTGGTTGCTGATTGGATTCTGTGTTCACCGCCAAGTTATATGCAATTTCTCTTGCAATAGATCATATAGAATCCAAGTGGTAGAATAATTGTACTACCTATACTAACTCTCTTATCACCTTGATAGCCCTGGAATTGCTTAAAGTGAGTTCTTGCCCAGTTCTTTTGGATATTCAGAAATGACTAGCCCACTTCTCTATTATCTATATCTATTCAGTTTTTCTGGATTCCTGGCCATGTTGGTATTCATAGGAATGAGCTTCCTGACATCACAGCCAAAATCCATTTGCTCTGGTGTTTTCACAGCCATGGCCATCTTTTGTGTGGACTACAGACGTGTCATCAAGGTATGGCTTCATGGCAATTGGAAGTCAGTTTGGAGTGAGCAACATAATAATAATAAGCTTTTACAGATAATGCATACTATTGTTGTTTGGCTATCTAGTTTCCATCAGGAGAAGAGAGAGGAAGTTTTTTTTATTGACTACACATTGGCCATGGTTTCACAATTCATCATTTTCTTTTACAAGAATCTGATTCACCATTGTGTGATCTTTGTGACACTTGGTCACAATTGCCCACCTTCTACTTTTGTGTCATCGCTACAACTGCCAGCAGCAGCACCATTTTAGACAGTTTTTGTCTCTGGGTTTACTTTTGATGTTGGACAGTCATTGGCTATAGTGACACTGTCAAGATAGATTGTGTTTTTAGCCTTTTGCTGGCCATTGGCCATTTTAATTGTATTTGATTTTTTAACCTTGTTTCATAAAATAATTAACATTTTATTCTATTTCCTAATTTTTTCTACATTTATTCATTTATATGCATTTTTTTATTGATTCATTGGCTGTTTAGTGCAGATAGCCCTGGTGCTTTGTGTAATTAAATCCAACAAACCAACCAGCCTAAAAGCATAAGATAAAAAATGTACATGAAAACAAGAAAGTTAGTACTTGTATATGGAATTGTGCCTTTTGCTGTCAACAGGTGAGGCACTCTAAACCAATTTTTTTGTGTGTGAGACGATGTTTGTTATCCACAAAATTATTCATATGTATTTCAAATATGCATTTTTTTTTCATAATCCAAAAAGTTATCATTCACTACTATAGAAGGTCCTAAAACTACTGTAATTTAACTGGCTTTCTAATGAAGTTATAAATAGGTTAAAATAACTTTTAGCTGCTTGAGCTGAAAACAATTTCACATAATAAAACTGAAGCTGAATATCTAACTGCGAAATAACCAACATAACATTCTTGTAAAGGGAAGGTTTCTCTTTCTGTTGGTTAGAAATAACCCAACAGCAATATCAAAGAGAATTATTGAGATTTTATTTAAAAATGGAATTTTATGGGAGGGTTGTGTCATGTGGTTTTGACATTTTTTTTATACTTCAGAAAAGTAGGAAGATTGGAGGTTCTAACTTTACATTGTGATTTGTCAATATCTATAATATGTATGTGTGATTTAGTTGGACACTCAGAAAGTCATATAAGGGGAGAAAGTAAATTTTAAATGGACATTTGGAGGACAGTTTCATCATGTGACACAGACAAATCTAGACTTGAGAAGTATTTCAATTTGAAATTAAGAAATTAAAACTTAAATAATATAAAATTTGATTTATAAACTACATTTGTATGCTAACTTTATTAATCCTATTGATATGAATAGGTAAAAGTGATGACTGAAAGATTTGACAAATTCACCAAATCCATGTATATAACAATGTATAACTTTTAATAATGGCTGGAGACGGCTTAAATGGGTAATGAAGAAAAACTTTAATATAAGTTTAACATGACAGCAAATGTACAACGTTTCGACAAGGTTCGACTTAATATACATTCAGGTTTCAGAGGTTATGCAAATGATGTTTAAAAAGTGTAAAATGTAAAAGTATGTTTAATTTTAACATAAAAATCACCTTACACAGACTAATCAGAGTCTGAGTCACTGTGATTCCATATATTCAGAGAAATCTTTAGTAAAAATACTTAATTGAAGAATCTGATTTTTTTGTGTCCAAAATACTTTTATGGTTACCTAGTGGTTGCAAGATCAGTCAGTGACCAAGCATATATAGAGAGTGATAACATACATTGGTATTAGAGTAGTTTAATTAAATTTTGAATGTAATCTGTATAAAAGATTGTGACATGCATACTTTGACACATGCATATCTATCCGTGAGGTACATATCTTATCTAAAAGTTATACAGAAATAGGTATATTAAGATACAACTTTTTTTTTGTTTAGAAAGAAGAAGATCATGATACTAAAGCCTCTACACCTTCAGGCCTATCCTGGATTCAAAAAGGAACTCTAAAGATATTCTCAAAAACAGCATCTTAAATCTGCAAACTAGGTTAATGTTCATTTTGAATAATAGCACTTTTCTGATATTTAATTGAAATATACTTTTACAACATAAATAAACATTGACATGAATTTGTTTAATTTTAAGACTTATTTTGTTTTTCCAGTGCTATGTTTATTCTTCACAACACATTCAGATTTCAGAAGTAGTGAATACAAAGTTCAGTTGGAAATATATGTATGTATGTATTTCAGAGTAATGGATAACAAATAGAAACTAAATCTGTTATACTGTTCAGATTGATTCCTTTAAATAATAAAACCTCTAGTTTATATAGATAAACTTGAATTTGATCAAAAAATTTTGATCTCACTTAGTTGTCAGTAATACTGTACGTACACTAACTGAAATAAGGCATAGGGAAAAGTCAGCCTCCTGCCAATTGTGTTACGCCCCTGTATATATTATCCGGACACTAATGGTGTTAGTTATCTAGGAACTATGGTGAACATCGTGAAACTTAAACTTGTGTACTGTTGCAAATTATCAGTTATTTTAGCCTAGTAAATGTACTTTCTACTTTTCAAAAAAATATATTTAAAATATTTATAGTGTATTTGATGAAATGTATGAGTAAAAGTTGTTAGGGTCTACTGTACTTATAAATATTTACTTTCTGTGTAACTGACATGTGGGTAGCAGCTTTATGTAATTTGTGTGCTGGTATTTTTGATCTAACTACACACACACAAACTAAGAGAGAATAAAACAAGATATTGTGTAAATTTAAGTTGCTGGTTTTCAATATGGTCAAAACTTAATGCTCAGTAATACTGAACTTGCAATGCATATAAATGTTTCTAAGACAATAAATGTGTTTTGTTTAAACCATGATAGTATTGTAAAAACATTTAAAAAATTTAACATTTTTATAAGCTTCATCTTTCATAATTTTACTTATAAGATTCTTGTATACAGTAAAAACTTTATATAACAAAATCCATAAACCAAGTCTCAACTACAACTAAGGACAAGATAAGATGAAATAGAGACATACCCAGTCCACACAAATCTTCAGTTCCTAAAAGAAACCCTACTACAGGTTATCACTCTAAAATGAAAGAGTGAGGATTAACTGCTGATTAATGCCACCTTCGGTTATATTCAACTCATATTGTTAACAGGTTCCTAGTGGCCTGAACAAATTTTCAAAACAGAAACACTCTATTGCAAATACTCCAGGATAATTCTACCTTTTGCTATATTTAATTTGTATTTGGGATTACATATTCATAGTAGACTGAACAAATCTTCAATTCAGAAACTGTCCACTGCAAATGCTACCTTTAACTATATTCAGCTAATGTTGCTGTTAACAGGTTCCTAGTGCCCTGAAAAATTCCTGAATATATAAACTTTCCACTGAATATAATTATAGTTAATGTTACCTTCAACTATGTTCAACTGGCATTGTTGTTAACACGTTCCTAGTGGTCTGAGCAAATCCTAAGTCCACACTTTCCACTTGAAATACTACTGGTTAATTATAACTTCAACTATGTTTAACTGGCATTGTTGTTAACACGTTCCTAGTGGTCTGAGCAAATCCTCAATACACAAACGGTCTACTGCACATACACCTAGTTAAGGACAACTTCACATATGTTCAGCATACATAGTTGTTAATATGTTCCTAGTAACCTGAAAAAACCCTTAATACAGAAACTGTCCACTGCAAGTTCTCCAGGTTAATGCTACCTTCAATAATATTCAATTGGTATTGTTGTTATCAGTTTCTTAGTGACCTGAACAAAGCCTCAATACAGAAACTGTACACTACAAATACTCCTTGTTAATGCTATCTTCAACAATATTCAACTGGTGTTGTTGTTATCAGTTTCTTAGTGACCTGAACAAAGCCTAAATACACAAACTGTCCTCTGCAAATACTTCAGGTTAATGCTACCTTCAACAATATTCAATTGGTATTGTTGTTATCAGTTTCTTAGTGACCTGAACAAAGCCTCAATACAGAAACTGTCCTCTGCAAATACTTCAGGTTAATGCTAACCTTCAACAATATTCAATTGGTATTGTTGTTATCAGTTTCTTAGTGACCTGAACAAAGCCTCAATACAGAAACTGTACACTACAAATACTCCTTGTTAATGCTATCTTCAACAATATTCAACTGGTGTTGTTGTTATCAGTATCTTAATGACATGAACAAAGTAAATACACAAACTGTCCTCTGCAAATACTCTTGGTTAATGCTACCTTCAACTCATTCTTGTTAACAGGTTTGCAGTGGACTGTACAAAGCCTCGATACAGAAACTGTACTTTACAAGTCCTCCTGGTTAATAATTATCATCAATTATATTCAAATAATATTTTTTGTAAACAGGTTTCTAGTGGCTTTGACAAACCCTTAATACACAAACTGTACAAAGAAATACTCCAGTTATAGCTACCTTAAACTATATTGAACTTATGATGATGTTATCATGTTTCTGGTGAATTGAATAAGGCATTAATACAGAAACTGCCCTTTATAAATACTTCTGGTTAATGATGCTGTCAACTGTAGTCAACTCATTTTTGTAAATAGGTTCCTAGTGTCCTGAACTAACTCTTAGTACATAAATGATGCACTGCAAATACTCCTCGTTAGATATAAATGACTGTTTCATGTTAAGCTTAATGCGAGTGTTAAATTTAGTTATTTTTTTAGAAGTGATAGTTTATTGCAAGTTTTGTTGCATAACTGATTTTTTCAAATCACACGTTGTGTAGTTCAATACTTATGAATTGGTGATTGTTATATTATTGTGTCATGTTACTTGAACCTTCCGAGTTTTTCTCATTGTATTAATTAAGTATTATTCTATCATAATATCAAGTATGTGTGGAATGTTCTAGACCTCTGCCGGGGTATAGATATGCATTGAAAATTTAGTTTGAAAGCTTCATAGATCTAGACTGCATGATTATGAGTTTTGCATTAAAGAATGTATAGTGGTGACTTTGAAGTGAAATTATCACAGATTATATAGAAATAACGGGGAAGGAAGCATAATTCGTCTGATCAAATTGTGTTTTAAAGTAATTTAACCATCTCGTGTGGACGTTGATGAAATAAAAATCTGACAATTATTTAAAACTCTGGATACCACTGTGATAACCAACAGTGTATCTAATACTTGTATACATATTTTACTTGTTTTTATTAACCCTATGACTAATGGTAACGTGAAATACCAAACATGAACTACATCATATGGTTAGTGCTTGAACATCAACGCTAGATCAGCTATGTAGTTGAAAGAGACTGATAATTGAAAGTGTTATACCCCTAGCTTTTCGAGTCATTGAGTAGATTAAAAGCAAAGTGGATCTTCAAAGCTAAGACAGTTATTAATTCTTGCAACTAAAGATTGAAAGGAAACAGTATTCTTCACTTTCTGAGTTATCAAGTAGTAATGTCCAGCAGAATATATGGACAACATTTTGTGACTGCAACTCAATTATTGACAGCTATGACAGTCAATTATCTGTATGATCATGGACTAAAGGGAAGTTTCATTCCTTACTTTCCAAAGTATCAAGTGATCTTGTGATATGTGTACAACGTTGTTGAATCATCACTTGATTATCAACAATTAAGATGATCAAGTGATTTAAGGGCAATCAGACACTTTGCCTTCCGAGCTGCTGAGTGAAGTTGTTGTAAAACACTAATAAATTTCAGATGAATCCATACATCTGAACTAAAAGTTTATTAACCAGGATTAAGATTCATACTGTTACCAGTGTCCTTCAATACACACAGTCAGTAAAAGCTAGACTCCCTCATTTTTTCCTGGAGAATGATATAGAAACCAGTGAGAATTTGGTGATATACTCTGCACAGTTCTTACCACTTAACTAGATTCTCATGGTGATTTTTTTTGAAACCTCAAATAACGGTTGTAGAAACAGCTTTGGCATCATTTAAATTACCTGCCGAAGTTTCTCTTGGTTGTTATGGGGACGTCAAAAATAAATCATTTTTATTTAAGGTTTCATAAAATACATAATAGCAAGAGTCAAGCTGTATAAACTACTAGAGTACTTGATGAAGGGTAATGTCAGTATAGGTATATGGTAATACAAGTATATAAACAAACACGCATGTGTGGCAGCATGCACATGTTGAAAACATTACACAAAGTCTTTTATAGATGTTTTAAACAAATGAAGCAAACATGCACAGATAATGGTAATAAATAGGAGAAAACAATGAGATCATAGAAACAAAAGAATGGATCTTGATGTTAAGAATTAATGAAAGTGAGGTTAAATGTGGTGACTAACCTGAAACGTATTGTTGGAAAATGCAGTGTATCTGTCATTTTCATTAATTCTGAGATAATGTTTCAACTTCAGTGTTGAGACATATTACGGGTGGTGAATTTTCATGGAAGAGACAGAAAAAAAAGAGAGAAAACACAGTTTTGCCTATAGTTTCTTACCAGTATAGTGCAAAGAATATTTTAACTTAATCAGATTGAAATATTAGTGAGTGGGTGAAATTGTCAATAATACATGAAATGCACAAATAATGGCTTGGATATTGGGACAAAAAATATACATGTGGTGTGTCTAGTGTTAGATATGATTTGAGAGGAATATTTTTAGTCATGCAAAATGAAAATTTTTCCTAGGCATATAATTTTACTGAATATTTTCTTAAGAGTGTTTCATTATATAATACACTGCATGAAAATGCAGGCTGAATGTGCAATAGAGGGAGACAGAAGGTACCATTCACATGGCGAAACCTTACAATGTGTGTCACAATTGTTACATATTTTGTAAAGGGAAGAAAGTCTCTAAGGAAAGACAATGAAAACATTAACAAGGGCTAATTGTCAAAGCAATCTCAACACCCATTTTAGCTTACTGGAACCTGGCTCTGTCTGTTTAACAACCAGATGGTAGGTTACAGATGAGACCAAGTTGGAGAGTTTAGCCTGCATGCTCATATTGTTTGGCAAGGGCAACAGAGAGAAGCTCGGCCATGGATAGCTGGTCAAATGAAAACACAGGGAGGCTAGAGGATCGAGAAGCCCTCAAGTTCCTTGGGTTCATGTTCTGTGGCCAATAATGAGTATGAGTGCATGTTAATTAAGTCTGTACACGTCTCTTGACCAGTTCCTAGTTTGCAACTGAAACTGTGTGTTATGATCTCCTTTAATCTACACTCTCAACTTAACCTTTGACCAATTACAACTCATTTGACTTTTGTATTTGGATTTGGACATTCAGTGTTTAAGATCATGTTTCAGCCACAGTTAGTCTCATTTATCGACAGCCAGTGGTTCTCCTTCTTCGTTACAGTTCCCGATTTTCTTTTCCTGTGCTATGGTGGATTCCTCATGAAATCTTATAGCCTCAAAGATGCTCCAGGACCCCAAGATTTATTCTATAATGAGGGGCATATAATCATTAAGGAAATGTACTTTGCAAGGTTAACATTTACTGTTACCGACCCCATGGATGAAACACATTGCTTACTGGTGAACAGATTGGCACTAACGTCTCCCAGAGCCAATCTGCCGACATTAGCTAATGAAGGCCCTGATGCCACTAAAAGGTCCAGGGAAGTTTTTCAGTATTGGATTTTTGAGTCAACACCATTAGGTCTAGAGAGGCTGAGCCTCCAATTGGCCCAGCAGCAGAAAACAGTTCTGCTGTTGTTACCATTCGTGCAAAGAAAAGAGAGGCCCAGTGATTTGTCCCATCGTAG